ACAAGAGGGAGGAATTACACTAAATATTAACTAAACTATTAACTTAATCAAAGTAGCAAAAAGGCAAATAATTATAACACAGAAAATAATAAGTGATAATAAAATGACCTCAACACAAACTAAACAAACTAACTAAATAGTGCTCCCTCCCCCCTTGTTGAGTCATGATGGTCTCTTCCAAGGGTTCTCCGTCCAGTCCTCAAAAAAACCCCAAAAAAACCCAAAAACAAGTGTAAATAAATCAGACTTATATTAACTAAAATGTGTGCAATCAAATTAGAATATAAGTCTAAATAGAATAATGAAATGATGTGAAATGCAATTAACGTAAGGTAAATGAAATGAAATAACACTGACACTATGGAGAGGTGACAGAAGGATCCACCTCAACTGAGTAAAAGTATTCTGGGCTTGTTGTTGAGTCCCATGTGAAGACACTTCAAACAAGGATCATTACTGCAGATGGATTCAATCAAACAGACCGAACCTTGTCAAAGCCTGAGCTGGTCAGATCTCAGACGCTAAGTAGGGCCTGGTTAGTACTTGGATGGGAGACGTCTGGACATACAGTGTCTATATAATAATACTACAAGGTCAGTAGTTATTATAATGTTTAAAGTGTCACAAGTAAACCTGTGCCATTATACATTTATTGATATGTTAAAAGTGTTGTTAGCTCAGTAAAGAGTATTGTGTGAATAGAATCATAACAGTAGTTTCCTCTGCTCCTCAGACGAGTTTCGCCTGGTGCTGGTGGGCAGGACGGGGGTGGGGAAGAGCTCCAGTGGCAACACCATCCTGGGAGAGCAGGCCTTCACCTCGTCTGTCAGCGCAGCCTCAGGTACACCCCCCTTCCCCCCATAGTCTAAACAATACAAAGAATAATCTGAACAAACTAATTCTACTAATTCTTTATGCCTGTAGTTTTGCCTTAAACATGTTAAAGTATCTGTATTTCTGCATCTGTAACTCTATCTCAGGCTTCACTTGGGTGGAACACTGGGTGTACAGCACCCTCTAGTGGACAGGACAGACATAACTGGACTAGTGGGGCATGTTGTGATTTGGTTGTTGGGCTCATCACAGGATGGAGCATCAGAGTGGATTGTTGGGTTGTGTGTCTGTCATAGATTTAAATATAAAATATGTCAATTTATTAATTATAGAAACAAAACAACAAACTAAATAAGAAAACACATAATGTTAGTGAAACAAGAGCATAATCTAACTGAAACCAGACTGAGTCCTAAACCAGGCCTCATGTGAAGCTCAGAACTTCCAGAATTCCCTCCCTGAGCTGCAGAGGCTGCACTAGCACTGACTCATGATGGTGCAGGTGCTGGGGTTTTCTCTGTTGTCTAATGAGCGTCCTCTAGTACATGAGCAGCTTTATAGTCTAACTTTCTGCATGATTAAGTGAAGTTAAAAGAACTGTATATAAGTTTATATTTTATTTATGCATTATTGATCTATTTTATTGATCTATTTTTACATTTTAAACATGACCTGTGTCCCCAGATCTGAGGTCAACCTGTTTAAATCAAATATAACTTTTACTGAAAACTGTTGTAATACTGTGTGAAAATCTAAAACTAAAACTGAAGTGAAAATGAAATTGTGTCTCTCTGATCTGAACGGTCTCTAAACTAAACTCCTAAACTCCAGCACCTGCACCAGTCATGAGTCAGTGCTGGTGCAGCCTCTGCAGCTCAGGGAGGGAATTCTGGAGGTTCTGAGTTTCACATGAGTCATGTTCTGTCCATAAACTGAGAATGAGACACATGCAGGATGTGGTGCTGTTATGTGAGTTTGTCTTTGTGTGTTTCTGTAACTGCAGAGGTGAGCAGCCGTGCATCAGGATTAGGACTGGGAGAGTACTCAGTAACTAAATTAAAATGTAATGTAAATGTAAAATTACAATTAAATGGTAGTGTTATTCTCATGTACAAGTGCAGGCTTAAAAATCTACTCCAAAAAGTACATCCAAAATTAACTTAACTACAGTAATGTGACTGTTTATAATTATTTGCTTTCCACCCCTGCTCTTAATCAAATAATGGTAACATCTCTGTAAACCAACTTATCATCAAATGTTGCAGAAAACAATCTAAACATCCTAAAACAAAGAACAGCTCCTGTGAACGAGACGAGAGAGCTCAGTCTGATCTGTGACTGCTGCTGAGTCTGTTACACTGACAGTAACTTTAACTGTTACAGCAGAGGAAGAGTCATTAGTAACACAACAGTGTTCTATTTAAACCGTGTTATTCCTCACACTGGTTGTGTGTGTTTGCAGTGACCCGTCAGTGCAGTAAGAAGAGTGGTCGTGTGGGGAGACATCATGTGACTGTGGTGGACACTCCAGGTCTGTTTGACACGTCCCTGAGCCAGGAGGAAGTGGACCGAGAGGTGTCCAAGTGTGTGAACATGTCCTGCCCAGGGCCCCACGCCCTGCTGCTGGTGCTGCGCGTGGGCCGCTTCACCCCAGAGGAGCGCGCCGCTGTGGACGGGCTGGAGAGGATATTTGGCCCCGGAGCCTGGAGGTACACTCTGGTCCTGTTCACACACGCAGACCCCAGCTCCCTGCAGCAGGCCCTCACAGACTCAGGGCCCGAGGTGAAGGAGGTGAAGGAGGTGCTGAAGCGTGCGGGGAACCGATACCACCCACTGGACAACCAGAGGGCCGATGACCGCTCCCAAGTGCTGCAGCTGCTGGAGAAGGTGGAGAGTATGGTCCAAAACAACGGAGGAGAGTTCTACAGCAACCCCACATATGTGGAGGTAGGAACCAGAGTGCACATTATCATGCCTGAGCACACCTTAAAACACCTGGGCACACCCTAGAACATCTGGGCACACCCTAGAACACCTGGGCACACCCTAGAACACCTGGGCACACCCTAGAACACCTGGGCACACCCTAGAACACCTGGGCACACCCTAGAACGCCTGGGCACACCCTAGAACCTGGGCACACCCTAGAACACCTGAGCACACCCTAGAACGCCTGGGCACACCCTAGAACATCTGGGCACACCCTAGAACACCTGGGCACACCTAGAACACCTGGGCACACCCTAGAACATCTGAGCACACCCTAGAACCTGGGCACCTAGACCTGGGCACACCCTAGAACACCTGGGCACACACTGGGCACACCTAGAACACCTGGGCACACCCTAGAACGACTGGGCACACCCTAGAACACCTGGGCACACCCTAGAACACCTGGGCACACCCTAGAACGCCTGGGCACACCAGGCAGGAGAGGGACATTATGTTTTCTCTGGAAACAGATTTACACAAATGTCATAGTCTTAGTCTTATACTTTTGCTTGATCTTTCAACATGTGGCAGAAGATCCATGAAGACATTTTCACAATAATAATTTTAAAATTGGTATTATTACACTTACAAGTTTGACTCTGAAGTCATTAATCATTCATGTAACCGTCCCTGTCTGTGGTAGTAACCACTGTTACTGTAGTACTGTTAAAGTACTGTTTATTGTACTACTGCTGCCACAGCTGCCCTGGGGCAGACAGACTGAAGTGAGGCTCACTGGTTCTTCTGACCACCTCCGTTCATTAGAGATAGACGGGGGGGTCTTGCTCAAGGACACATGGACAGAATGGTCTGGCTTCTGTCTTTAAGTACATTTAGTTCATTCTATTCATCACATATCATCAGTCGAAAAGAAAACTAAACCTAATGACCCAGGATGTTGACATAAGAGGACAGTTTGGCTGCTGCCACTAGAGCTGAGTTAAACCTTTCTTCACTGTTGTGTTGTGTTCTTGTCCAGATGACGGAACTGTTAAAAGTGAGGGAGGAACAGCTGAGGGAGAAATACGAGCAGGAGCTGAAGGAGAGAGAGAGGGCTCTGGAGCAGAAGTACCAGGAGAAGCTCAACAAAGCCCTCAACGATGTGAACGAGCAGAGGACTCTGCTGAAGAGCAAGGAGGACGAGATGGAGGAGCTGAGGAGGTACTACAAGGCTGCGCAGGGTCAGAGCCGCAGAGTGGCAGAGGAGATGACCAAGAACGACTCACTGGACAACATGAGCTACCACCGCACCCTCTCCTACCTCCCCCAACACAAACAGCAGATGGACTCTTAAAATCTTACCTCTTAAAAACTGTGTAAAAATACAAAGAAAACATCAACCATGATCAAATCAAAATGATGATATATATTTCTTGGCAGATCCCTCACCACTGTAATGGTGCAGGCAGACTCAGGTTAGAATGTTATAATGTGCATCAAACCACAGGTGCTCACTGTGATGACTGTGATCTACGGCCGTCCAGAGGCGCGGGGGTGGATCCCAAAGACATTTTATTAACTTCTGTGAAGTGTTTTGCCTGTGGGGAAGTGACTGTGGGCCACATTATCACTTCTGGACATGTTATTGCTTTATCTTTGTCTGTACAGCAGGTGGTGGAACCTCCACCACCAAATGTACAAAGTGCACTTTTAAAATCTGTGACCAACCTATCGTCATCATGATTCATATTTTAAATGTAAATCTAAGAGGAAACATTGTATATAGTGTTTAAAGGTGCTGTGATTTCAACAGTTTGCAGTGGTTCAAAGTTCTTCCTCACTGTCAAGCTCAAAACTCAAAAGCTCAAAAGCTCAAAAGCTCCGCCCCTCTGCTCCTTGTCTTCACCTCCACTCCTAAATCCATTCACTTCTCCAGTTTATTCCTAGTCTGGCCAGTAGATGGCGCCTCAAATCCAGGTGAGCCTAATGTGAAGGGAAAACAGAAACACCGGTGAGGAAGTTTACCTGTAAAATTAGTTTTTGAGTGTAGTTAAAACAATGAAAATGGTGTTAAGACCTGAAGGACACAATAGTGTAAAAATAATCTGACCTAATGTATAAGTAAAGTGAATATTCTGTTTAATTTAAGTCGCACAATGAGAAGCTTTAAATGCAATTGGCAATTTTATTTATTTTTTATTTTTTTAGTTAACAGGAGCTTAATAAATAATAAAAAAATAAATCATAAAAGTAATTTAAGTTCTTAAAATGTTAAAAGCTAAACTGAATAATAACTAATTGGCATTTGATTGTTTAAAATTTTCCGATTTATTGGAATGATGTAAAATGTATTTAATTTAACAAATGTGAAGGGGCACTAATATATATATATATATATATATATATATATATATATATATATATATATATATATATATATATATATATATATATAAATTTAGCAGTTAAAAGCTATTAATTCATTAAAATTTTATGTAAAATTATAAAATATTTAATTTTAAATTGTATAAAAAAATAAGTTATATTTAAGATAAAAATGTATTGTTAAAACTGTTACATTGTTTAAAATTGTAGCCTATTTGAGTGAATTTGTGAAAGGTATATTAATAAATATTATAAGTAAAGTATATTCAGTAAATACAAATAGATTATAATACAATATAGATTAAATGAAAATGTAAAATGTAAATTTAAAACTTTAAACTTTTAAATTTTTTACTTTGGAGACCAGTCTTTGTCTCAAGGACTACGACACTAATACATACTTTATCAGAAATGCTACTTTTTCTCAAGCTCAAATATTATTTTGAGGATATATTTTTTCATTCTTTGTTATAGAAAAGCAAACTGACTGATTTCTACCAGAACATTTCAAACTGTTGATTATTTTTGATTCTTGCCCAAGTGCACATATTTGTATAAGCAGCACTTGAGGACAAAATAAGTCCAATGTGTCCTTTATCTGATTATCAGGAAGTGTGTTTTAGCATACTAGTTGTTGTTATCTATGCTGTAATTGCAAATGTGGTCTGTGAAAGTTGTGAGTTGTGCTCATAAACTGAATAAATAGAAAAAAGTGAATAAATAGAATGTTCAGAATGCATAAGGAAAGAGGGGAAGAACTTTGGACCAGTACGATGTTGAGCAGCCTGTATTTCTTATTTTTAGAACAGCAAACGAGCATTTATATCTTTTAGAATTGCTTATTTTTTGTTTAAATAAAAATCTTTAGCATTGAGCTTTAATGTCAGCTTTCTCGTTCTCTCTTTCTGATGACACAGTATTGTAAATGTTCTGTAATGTGATGGAGCTCCAGCCGTGATGTCACAGATAATAAAAGGACTTCTATTTTGAGTTCTTTAGTCTGTGTGGACATGTGGACGTTTGGACAGTCTGCTTGTGCTCTCTGTGCTGCTGTGTCCTGCTCACATGAGGTGCTCACTATTTTTAGATCAAGACAAATGGACCGTGCTTCCTCGCGGCACTGAGCAGGAAATGGCTCTTCTGTAATTATCCTCCAAGAACATCTGTCTGTGTCTGTCTCCCTGTACAGCCTGTGGCACGTCGCCCCATGACCACAAGCTCACAGGTTAGATTCCCAGACTGTGAGCATTTCTGTGGGGTTTGCATGTTCTCTCTGTGGTTCCTCTAGTCCAGGGGTCTCCAACCTTTATGTACAGCTCCTTTACAAAACGAAATGTCAAAGAGCTGCTCATTTTAGCGGCTGCAAGAAATTGAGATGATTATAAGAAAGAGGGAGAGCTTTTGGGTGCAGTTAAAGCCTTTAAAACATGAACCACTGTCCATTTATCAGTGCACAAGTAGTACAATAGTAAAAGACATTTAATTAACCACATTTTTGCTCTGGTCTGACCTGTGTGTCCCAGTGTAGTGTGAGTGTTTACCAGCAGAGGGCGCCATGGTGCTGTCATGTTTTGAGTGGCTCACTGTGGCAGAGCAGGAAGCAGCAGACAACTGTACTCAAGTAAAAGTACAGTTACATGGCTAATAATGTACTCAATTGAAAGTACTGTTGCCAAATTTGTACTTGTATTTGTTTAAAATGTTGGTTTTAACTTACAGAGCTTTAAATGCACAGGTGCCCCAGTACATCAGTGACTTACTGCGCCTCTACTCCTCAGGCCGCACCCTCCGGTCCTCTGGTCAGGGTCTCTTGATGGTCCCAAAGACCCGATTTAAAACTCAGGGTGACGTTTGCTTTCAGGCTGTGGCTCCCAAATTATGGAACGCCCTGCCCCCGGTCCGACGTGAGGCAGATTCTGTAGACTCTTTTAAAAAGCAGCTCAAGACACGGCTCAACAACACGACAAGCTTTTAGTTGACTCTGTCTGTAATTCCTCTGTTCTTGTTTATGTTGTTTTGATGTTGTTTTTGCTCTGTAAAGCACTTTGTGAAAGATTTACTTACTTCTTACTTACTTCTTACTTACTTCTTACTTACCTCTTACTTACTTCTTACTTACTTCTTACTTCTTACTTACTTCTTACTTACATACTTACTTCTCTTACTTCTTACTACTTACTTCTTACTTACTTCTTACTTACTACTTACTTACTTACTTACTTACTTCTTACTTACTTCTTACTTACTACTTACTTACTTCTTACTTACTACTACTACTACTACTTACTTACTTACTTACTTACTTACTTACTACTTACTTACTTACTTCTTACTTACTTCTTACATACTTACTTCTTACTTACTTCTTACTTACTTACTTCTTACTTACTTACTTACTTACTTACTTCTTACTTACTTCTTACTTACTTCTTACATACTTACTTCTTACTTACTTACTTACTTACTTCTTACTTACCTCTTACTTACTTCTTACTTACTTCTTACATACTTACTTCTTACTTACTTCTTACTTACATACTTACTTCTTACTTACTTCTTACATACTTACTTCTTACTTACTTACTTACTTACTTACTTACTTACTACTTACTTACATACTTACTTCTTACATACTTACTTCTTACTTACATACTTACTTACTTCTTACATACTTACTTCTTACATACTTACTTACATACTTACTTACATACTTATATACTTACTTACTTACTTACTTAAAGGAGCTGTATGTAGCCTGTGCTCTTTCTGCTTTTAGAAAAGCTTCTACAATCACAACTGAACCTGTGTCTCCAGAGTCTTCACCTGCACACAGAGACACATCCTGCATGTGTCTCATTCTCAGTTTATGGACACGCCTCATGTGAAGCTCAGAACCTCCAGAGTTCCCTCCCTGAGCTGCAGAGGCTGCACTAGCACTGACTCATGACTGGTGCAGGTGCTGGGGTTTAGATCAGAGAGAGACATTTTAGGTTTAAACATACTGAATTTTAGCACTGAAACTGGCAACCCACAAGAGAGACTATAAACAAAAAGAAGAAGAAGAAGAAAACTAAGAAAAAAAGTGACTGTATTTCTGTTCGAGGTCTGATTGTATGGAACAACCTGACTGATGATTTAAAAAAAAGTCTAACACTGTAGAAGCCTTTAAAAAAGAGAATAAAGTGTTATGTTTGGAAAGATATAAAGCTCTGGAATGAATGATTAATAATTTGAATTGATATGTTGTCTCTTATTTATTAAGTCGTAAGTGAAACTGTAAATACAAACTTGCTGTTCAGATGCTGTTTTTCTTTCTTGGAATTCTGTCATTGTTTAATCGGGTTTGACTTTAGAAGTACTTTTACTTCAGCCTAAACTCTTTTGATCATGATTCATGGGGTTGGAGTCTGTGTTTTGTTTTGTTTTGCAGTGCTGAAAAATGACTCAATAAACTATAAATACAATAAAATATAAAATATAAAAAAGAGACTCATAAGTGGCTCATTCTGCTTGGACCAAAACACCAAATTGGACCAAAACACCAAATTATAAGACAAAATAAATGAGAAATCAATAGATCAACATTACAATTATTATCAGTAAAAACTATGTCTGATTTGAACTTGTTTACCTCAGATCCAGGGACATAGATATAGGTCAGGTTTATTCATATTTTATGAAATTTTAAATCAAAATCTTACAGTTTAAGTAAAAGTTCACATAACCATTACTACTCAAAGCACATTCACTTTGAGAAGGAGTCAATTTTCCATTTATTTTTCCCATAGACTTTTCCATAAATTCAAATATACTTTAAAGGAGGTGGACACAAACTCATCTCCAGAACACACTTGTTTTGAATCCAAAGGGAACATTTAAACGGAGTGTCTATTTGCACCCTGGGTGTTAATAGTTCAATGGACACAATTCTTCTATTTACACCCGTCTCAAGAAAAGAAGGGATCGGTGACGTGTCCGCTTACGTCTTTTCCTGTGAAAAGTGCGGGAAGCTGGATTTGAGAATCCAAAGGAATAAAATTCAAAACAAAGGAAAGGTAAGGTAAAAGATAAGTCAGTGTTGCTACAAAATATATTTGCAATGCCTGTCCGACCATGACTGTTTTGGTAATTAAGTTGAAAGCGTCACAGCATCATGGGCAGTTTATTGAGCTTGTGCGATGAAAAAGGATGACTAAAACCAGTTCTAAACCAGGACTAAATTCAGAACTAAAACAGAACTTAACCGGAACTAAACCATTAGGAGCAGACTGCAATTGATTGATTGATGATTCCGCATCATTTTGAGTATGAAAAAAACATCAAATATTATTGATTTTCACTGGGCTGGTGCCTTTATGTTTGTACTGACCGTGAGGTTTTTTTTTCCTTTTTTTTTTTTTAATAAATAACCTGGATGTAAATAGCATTTTTGTCTACGAACGCCTGGGTGTCCTTCTATGTGCCATGATAAATACCTGGATGTCAATAACAACAATGGTGATTTGCCCTGTGTGTGAATAATAATGTTAGTTATTTACACCCAGGGTGCAAACAGCATCTGCCAAATTTAAAACAAGATTCTGTGAAATGTTTCTTTTAATAACTTATTTGACTTTTATGAGGTATATGTAACACAATATATTTAGATCTTCATGTTTTGTTTTTATTGTTTTGAAAATGCTCTATTCACAACATATTAACATGCTTAATAAGTTTCAATTTGGCTTTGGATGAAATAATTGATTTTGCGTAACACCCCCTTTATAATGTTGATGAGTTTGTTTTCATACTTGACAGTTTGTTCTGCTCCTGCGTTCTTCCTCAGAGTCTCATGGTGTTGCTGTCGCTCAGTTGATTTAAACAGGTTTTGTCTCTGTCTTCCTCTCGGTGGAGGCAGGACGACA